TATATCCAGGGCAGCATGGCTCCACCACACCTGTATATATCCATCCTCATAATAGAGACCAAGATACATTTCATGACGGTTTTGGAGCAAGTGGTAACAGAACGTGGACGTAAGAATTACATCTGACTTAGGACGACATGGCTGATCAAGGAGAAGGGGTTTGAATTGGAGAAGGACTTAGTTAACTGTATCAACTGATATCTATGTAGTCAGCATCCTTTGTAACTATGACCATACAGACTGTAGTGTTGTAGTCTTCAGTGGGACAAACACAGATACGGGAGCAGCATGGCCCTTGGGACACTCCAGTCCAGGAGAGTTCATTTACACTGTGGAGGGAAGAAGCTGGGTCCACACAAGTCCATTGGGATTCGGAGGAGATGCCTGTTGGAGAGAGAGAGAGATACATTCGTTTTATATGAACGCAGATGGACGATGGTTAAACATGCACATATATATTCACATGTCTGTTATTTTCACCGAAACATTTGTTCAGTCCTGCTCCAATAGTAAAACAACCTTCTGGCAGGTCGGAGGGACGGATTATCTGTTCCGAGGGACTAATTTGTCCTGAGCCTTGACAAGGGCGTTCAACGTTATTTCACTAGGGACTTATAATGCGTCATTCCGAGAAGCGAGTGGGGTATTCTTTATATTACCACAGTCACCCCTGGTGTTTTTTGTTTTATCACTAGTAAAGGCATCATGGCCCACTTGCACAAAGCGATCTTAGCGATACGACTATCGTAAGCCTATGTTAAAGTGTGGAGTTACGATCATCTTAGCGCTGAGATGTTGTGCAAGTGTGCCCATGTCAGTTCCAATTACAGATTGATTACGTCACACAGACTGACGTCATAAACAAGGAATGGCGTCATTCATCATATGCAAGCCATTACTTGATATGACGTGACGTGGCTATGGTACGCTTCGTAATCAATGAAAACAATGTGACAAAGGAATGGCGTAGACAATTAGCATGAAGAAGAAAGTTTATTGCTCAGGGAGAATTACTGAAAATAATTACACAGTACCCTTGCCCCTATGGATAATATGCTATACTGCTATTTGGTGTCACGATTTGCCTAATGATATATGACAGGGCTGTAGTATGGAAGCGTATTAGTGCCACAGTGTAAAATATAGCATCGACATAGAAGGTCTACCATGGAATTAACGCACTATTTTAGACACGTAACAATGAGAGGAGAGTACAAAATGTTCTCAACTACAAACAAAGAAACAACTATAGGTCAAGACTCACACTTTTGGCGGAGTTATATATATCAACCATAACATGATTGAAGCCGAACAAATCACTCGAATATGTTGACTGTCATGATTTCTCCATTACAGAAAGGACCCGTGAAGATCCAGGTTAGAATAGGTCCTCAGCAACCCATGCGTGCCGTAAAAGCCGAAAAACGGGATCGGGTGGTCAGGCTAGGTGACTTCGTTAATGCATGTCATCGATCCCAATTGCGTGGATCGATGATCATGATGCCAATCACTGGATTGTCTGGTCCAGACTGTTATTCACAGATCGCCGTCATATAGCTGGAATATTGCCGAGTGCGGCGTTAAACCAACCATTACCGAAAAGAGGTTTATGAGGGAGGTAAAACGTGAATATGAAAGAGTGAGAATTATCCAAACTATAAACACTATTCCAAACTAATACCCGTCACCATCCAGTGAAGCACTGAAGGAACAATTCTGCAGTTTTTATTTTAGTTCTGATAGTTTGACAATTTGAAATGATCTGAGTATGTTGTAAATATACGGAAAAGGCCAAATGAAAATATACATGCTGCCAAAGATTCAGGTAAATTAACAGTACTTAGTAATCAGCTAAACGTAAACGTTGTTATAAACTAGTGTCGAACTAGGGTCGCAACTTCACAAGACAAAATCACTGAGTAACGATATGTAGGTATACTATATAAACTCGCACACGCAGATGAAAGTATTCTCTATACATAGATGAAAGTGTAATGGTAATATGTTTGGAGACGGGCACTTATACTGTGGTGGGCCCCCGTGACTACTGCAACTGGTATACAATCAATACTACAGACAAACTGCAGCGACCGAGCGTTCTTACACTCACCATAGATAATAAGAGCGGTGACGGATGCGGTAGACGGATGCGGTAGACGGGTCCGGTAGGAAGGAAGCCTGTACAAGTACAAATTGTGATCAGATGTCATATCTCACACACAGGAACACGAACTTAGTTATGTTCTGACCAAAAGATAGGAAGTTTTGTAATTATGAAGAAAGTTGTTTGGAACAGTCTGTCTGTAAGTGAGTCTAATAACTGTTAACCATCAAATTAGTGCAGCTTGAAACTTACCGTGTCACTTAGTTCTGTTCAACATCCATCCACGTCAGTGGTAGACTGATACTGCCAACAGCATACCATGGCACCGCACATGATTAGGAATATCCTAAATATTAACCGAAATATTTTGTTGAGGTGGCGTTTTAACCAAAAGCAATTTGATACGTTCTCGGAAGATATTAGTGAGATCTGACACGCTCATTTTGAATCGCGTACATACTTCCTATATGAAAATCTTTCACAACAATCCCCTGACTGAAGACGGTTGACCAAATACAATGACCCTTGAAATGCTGGTGAATACAACCGAGTCATCGTTCAACTAGAAAGTGTTAGCGGGTGTTTCAGGTAGAAATGTGAGCCATGAAACATGAAACACCCCTCAACACCTCAGAGCTGCCGAGTCATCAGGGGGTACACGTGGACACCATCAGGGACTTGTAAGTGGACGATCGTGTCAAAAGCAGGAAGTTGTGGAAAGTTTTGGATATACAGATAATGATAAGACCAACATGTTAAGTTGGCATGTTTGGATCTTTGGTAATGTGAATATCGAAGAAATGCTTTGTTTTGTTTAGTGATAAGATACACTGATATCGAGTATATCAGAGGGTGTCAATTCCTGCACATGAAGCGGTGTCATTGGCGGATGTTGGAGAAGGTGGCCGTCACAAGACCTGAAGAAGAAACAAAGTTTCGTTAATTTCTCAATTATTCAATCCCTTTTATAAACAAACATGACCAATTCCATACGCGTAGCCGTTTTAAACGTTGTTTGTTGATAGTGGACAGACAAATAATGTCGGAAAGGCATGCACTTATATGACAACTGTTCAAGGAAAATGTATAGCAGGAATTCAATCTTTATACAGTAAAAATTAATTCCTACAGTTTAAATGATTCGTTTAAAGCTTCCGTTTTACTTACTGCATCTGAGGAGGTAACACCAGATGGCATGGGCGCTGAAGAAGGAATGACTCGCGGTGACCAATGGACTTGACGGCGAGACCAATGGCAGCTGGTAGATGAGGTTGAGGATGGTGGACACTGGATAGACGGCAACTACGCCTGGCAACTGTTAAGGTGACTGAGGCTGCGTTCTGGTCCCTCGGAACGACACCTGAAGTACTAGTGATAAGGAGATTTTCGTTATGATATATCAAGGAGATTTTCGTTATGATATATCAAAGAGGCAATTAACAAACACCAGAATAGGAACATCTATTACTTGTCAACGTACACTTATCTACTAACACCGACTTTAGAAACTATAACTTTGTTTACAGTGAGACAGTGGACAGTCTGATAAATTTGGGCTAAGTGTATGTCGGTTGAGGTACCTGAGGCTGGTGGCAACTGAGGCTGGTGGCAACCGAGGTAAGGTGGTAGCTGGTGGCAACTGAGGCTGGTGGCAGGAGACAGGTGGCAGCTTAGAAGGCAGCAACTGAGGCAAGGTGGTAGCTGGCAACCGAGGCAGCTGACAACCGAGCCTGAAAGAGGCAAAAAGACCAGCCTAAGAATTTAGAAATTTTCCAATCACAATATCATATACTCGTTCCTCTTTGACGAGTTGAATGGAATTGGAGTTTCTGAGACATTTAAGGGAGGTAGAGTTACCATTGCATGTGGAAAGGTGAGGGGGTGAATGAAAAGAGAACACTGGTCGATGGGATGGTAGAATGATCAACGTGAGTACAATCATACACGTGTTTATTTGTTTGTTGTTTAACGCAATATTCCAGCTATATGACGGCGGTTTGTAAATAATCGAGTCTGGACCAGACAATCCAGTGATTGACATCATGAGCATTGATCCACGCAATTGGGATCAATGACATGCATCAAGCAAGTCAGTGAGCCTGACCAACCGAACCCATTAGTCGCCTTTTAATGCAAGTATGGGTTGCGGAAGACCTATTCCACTCTGGGTCTTCATTGGCCATCACACATGTGACTGGCCCTGATTGTATTCAACAACCATAAGGTACTGGGTTACCTAGTCTGCAGATAGAATAGCCCTATTAAATGTGGGTGAGTGGGTGAGGCCAATGCTCGCTAAATGCACTGTGTTCCCAATACAGATATTAGGCGAGTGTATGTTTGGATAATAAACAACATCTATTTTAACTATGTGTATATTATTATTTGCCCACTGGTGTCTTAGGCTGTATGTGCGTTTGAATGGCGTCTCTTGACGTTTACAGTCTTCATTGTGTATATAAAGTATCCAGTTAAATTGCAGTGATCTAGCGTTCATATACTCACCATAGACTAGAGCTGAGGTGTGGTAGACGGGCGTGGTAGACGGGCGTGGTAGACGGGCGTGGTAGGCGGTGTAGTGTACAGCTGCAATAAGCGTCCCTGTAAAAGTACAGATCGTGATCAGATGCCAATTCTCACACACAGGAACACACAGAACTGACGAAAGACGTGTCGGGTAAAGGAAAGGATAGGAAGTTTTGTACTTCTTAAGAAAGTTCTTAGGAATAGTCTGTCCATAGAATTTAGATTTGAACTTATGAACGCGGTGTTCTATAAGTCCGGGAGTTTTGAATGTCCTAAGACAGTTGTTTGGAACAGCCAGTCTATAAAATAAGTTACAATTTTTAACCATCAAATAAGCGCAGTTTGAAACTTACCTTGTCACTTAGTTCTGTTCAAGAATCATCCATCTTCGTTGAAGACTGATACTGCCAACATCCTTCCACAGCACCGCACATGATTAGGAATAGCCTCCTTAACTCATGAATGTTAACCGAAATATTTGGTTGAGGTGACGCTTTAACCCATTGTAATTTGATAACAAGATCTAACACGCTCATTTCAATGCGCTTATTAAAATCTTTCACATCAATCCCCTTACTGACGACGGTTGACCAAATACAATGACCCTAGAAAATGCTTGTGAATACAACCGAGTCATCGTTCAACTAGAAGGTGTTAGCGGGTGTTTCAGGTAGATATGTGAGCCATGAAACATGAAACACCCCTCAACATCTCAGAGCTGCCGAGTCATCAGGAGGTACACGTGGACACCACCAGGGACTTGTAAGTGGACGATGTGTCAAAAGCTGGACGTTGTGGAAAGGTTTTGCGCTCAGATAATGATAAATCCAACATGTTAAGTTGGCATCTTTGGAACGCGCTGGTTATATGAAGATTGAAGAAATGCTTTGTTTTTTCAGTGATAAGATACATGACATCGAATGTATCAGAGGGTATCAATTCCTGCACATGAAGCGGTGTCATTGGCGGATGTTGGAGAAGATAGCCTGTAAATTACACCTGAAGAAAAAACAATATTTTGTTAATGTCAGAATTTTTCAATCACCTCTTTAAACAAACATGACGATCGGATCACGTTTATGTCCTTCGTGAAGTTGTTTATAGTGGACGGACGCGTATCGGGAATGTATGCACTGACATAACCACTGCCAAAGTGTCCTATAAATCAGAAAATCAATCTTGCTTTAAAACGACGGGAAAATGTTTGCCCTAAAGAATTAATACCTGGAGCGTAAATGATTCTTTTATAAGTTTAGTTTTACTTACGGCATTTGAAGATGTAACATCAGGCAAACATGGTCGCCAATGTCAGCTTGTGGCCACAGAGGCTGGTCACCTATCGCTGTCGTCTTCTTATGAACGCAGCCTGGTCGTTATTTCGATGTCTGAAGTGGTAAGAAGACTTTTGTTAACATATGTAGAAACAGATCACGTAAACACCAGGTGATGATAAACCTAGAAACATTCATGTCGAACCAATATTATAAAACGAAATCATAGGTATCTTGGAGGTATCAGGGAGGCAGAGTTACAAGTGGAAAGGTAAGGGGGTGAATGTTGCATAACGCCGCAGGCAGCAATATTTCAGCTAATATTTGACTGACAAGCAAACAGTGGTCGATGGGCTTGTAGAATCACACATTGTGAATGGTCCATACATGTACTCAACAGGAAGCAGGTACTGGGTTATCTGTTCTCTCCTGGGTCACCCGGAGAACATATAGAAGGAGTAGTGGTAGCAGTAGTAGTTGTAGTAGTTAATGTCCTACATATTCTGTATCAGATTCCTAGTCTGAATTGAGGATCACGTTCATTGTAAAAAAATAGCTAATATCATAAAGTTAAAACTTTTTATCATACAGAGTTATAGCATTGTTATTACAAGAAACGTCCGTCTATATCTATATGTTAATAAAACGGGTGAGTGAGTGAGTGAGTTGGGTTTAACGCCGCTTTTAACAGTATTCCAGTTATATCACGGCGTGTCAGCTTAATGTGGGAGGAAAGCCCGAAGTGATGAAGGTCTCAGACGTTTAGCACTTCGGTGAAACCCAAGAGCACGGGTATGGTGCCGACATCCCTAGAAACATAATCGGGGCGAACCGGGATTCGAACCCACAATTATAGGTTTCTGGCGTGCCTAAGGGGCGCAACTCTGCACAGCGAATCGCGGCGCCTTAGACGACTGTGCCACCCGTGCCCCCTAATAAAACAGGAAATACCAATGTTTTTGCATGTTTTTAGGGACAAAGACATTTTACTGAATAAAACTGTCTATATATCAGTCTTACGATGAGGTATCACCTTAATGTGGGACCAACAGTCTCGTGGTAGCTAGCTTCGCCAATCATCTCGACTATATACATATTCCAAGCAATGAACTTTAGAAATAATAAGATGAGTGACTTGAATAAGTAGAAATCAATATGTCCACCCACTCTCCACAAAGATATGTACTACAGGCCTTATGGCAATTCAGATTTTTTTCTGAAATAAAGATTGATCTTTAGTTTTACTTACAGCATTTGGGGATGTAACATCAGTTCGACCTGGTCGCCAGTGGAAGCTTGTGTCCATCCAGGCTGGTCACCTATCGTTGGCGTTTCCTTATAAACTTGGCCTGGTCGTTGGTAACTACGCCTGAAGTGGTAAGGAGATTCGTCAACATATGTAGAAACAGACCATTTAAACACGAGGATGGAAACTCCTATTTGTCCAAGATGCACACTATTCTACTTCTACAAGCATCTACCAGTACCAATTTCCGAAACATACAAGTATGGGTTGCCGCGGAACACTACAGACCCGGATGTTCGCGGGGCTAAAGGTGGGCGAGTGAGTGAGTGAGTGCTTGTATATCATTATTCCACCATTATTAGGGCGGATACCAAAAATGGGCTAAACACATGGGATAACACATCGTACGTTTTTTGTGTGTGAGTAGCCAGTGGTTCAGACACTAGGCTAACCCACGTAGAATTGGTCGATGCGTTGATTACCTCCCTTTGTAAATGATACATCTGGATACATTGGGTCAACTCACTTGTCATGCCCCCTCCCAGGCTCATCTGTACGGCACCTGCCGGTTTCCGGACGCGTCCCCTACTCTGTAATGAAACAAACAATACTTAGACCCTGACACAGCCACTGGGAACACGGTCCTACTGACCAGGAATATATATATAAAAACGATACAAATCATAAATCCTGTTCCTATTGCGGAGGGTTGCTGTCGGTTCGTTTATATAACGCCGCGCTCAGTAATATTCTAGCTATATGATGGCGGTCTGTAAATGATCGAGCCTGGAACAGACAATCCAGTGATTGACATCGTGAACATCGATTCACGCAACTGGGATACGATGACATGTCACTGAACCTGACCACCCGATCCCGTTAGTCGCCTCTTACAAGCGCAGTCGTCATTTGTGGCAAGCATGGGTTGCTGAAGACCTACTCTATGGCGGATGTTCACGGGTTTTGTGGAGAGTGAGTGTGGGTGTGGGTATATTGCATGGTCGGAGTATATCAGTGTTATCGTGAAGTATCGGCTTAAAGTGAGACCAGGTTCTAGTTTAAAAGGGAACAGTCACCGTTACACTTAACATTGTAATAATAACGATACTAATCATGTATCGATGGTGTTCCTATTGTATAAAGTGAGTGAGTTGGGGTGTATTGTTCATGCAAGCTTAAAAAGATTTGTTTGATGTTCAACATATTCTGTATCGGATTCCTAGTCTGAATTAAGGATCACGTTAATTGTAAAAAAAATAGCTAATATTATACAATTTAAACTATTATTTCTATCATACAGAGTATTACAAGAAACGTCCGTCTATATCTATATGTTAAGAAAACAGGAAATACCAATGCTTTTAGCATGTGTTTGGGGACATATCGGTTATTACGGTGAGGAATCAGTTTAATGTGGGACAAGCGTCTCATGGTAGCTAGCGTCGACAATCAGCACGACGAACACTGTATATGGCAATACGTGAGTGTGTGGGTTTACCACAGCTTTGAACGTCTACTAGTTAATGTAGGATGAACACCCGAGGTAATGCAGGCCTCAGACGTTTACATCATTGGTGGAAGCCACGAGTATGGAGCTGAGAAACATAAAAATAATCGATGCGAACCGGGATTCGAACCCACGTTCACAGGTTTTGGGCCTGATTAAGGAACTCTGCACAGCCATTTGGGGGCACCTTAGATGACTGGGACGCTCATGCCCCCGAATTACACCCTAACTCACTATTGTCCTCTGCGGATTGTTTATTGAACTGATGACAGCGCATTAGGAGTGCTTGTTGCATTTTGCCATACCTTCTTAATGCAACTACAAGTCGGTGCTTGACAAGCCAGTACTTCTACAATCATTGGGTAATGAAGTCTCAATTAATAACAAATGAAGCGAAATCTCACCGAAGTCCTCTGCGCCTCATCTAATATACGTAGTAGGGTCTGGTAGGGTTGTTGTTGCTGTTGTTGCTGTTGTTGGCGTTGTTGCTGTCGAGCGATTCTCTGTTGTTCCTCTCTCCGCTGTTGTTGCCGTTGTTGTTGCTGTTGTTGCTGCTGTTGCCTGAACAGGTTCATCGTTCTCTGTCTTTGCCTCTGATCTCTCCTCAAGTTGTTATTGATGACCTGATTCCGAGAGAAAAAAATACTCATTGATAGAATAGTATAATAGTATTTTATAAAGATGAAATAACCGTTTGTTGTAATTATACACACAGTGCAGTGATTCACATCATGAGCATCGATCCACGCAATTGGGATACGAGGACACGCATCAACCAAGTCAGCGAGCCTGACCACCCGATCCCGTTAGTCACCTCTCGATTACTTATAGACCGCCGTCATGTGGTTGGAGCGGGTGAGTGTTAATATTTGACGTCATATCGGCAAGATCTCAGACATGTCGTGACGAGAAGTTATACATTTGATACATATATTCAGACTATAAAAACCTGACATCGATGGACAGTATAATAACTTAAAATATCACAGTAATATATTTTATGGTTGTATGCAAGTTTTATATATCAATATATATATATAACAATACCTACAATAACTACATAGCATACTCAGTTGGAACCGTCTGTGTCGACAAAGTGGCAAGAGTCACTGCCGTCCCAGGTGCTGCTGAGGTAGATGGAACCGCCGAGGTAGATGGAACCGCCGAGGTAGATGGAACCGCCGAGGTAGATGGAACCGCCGAGGTAGATGGAACCGCCGAGGTCGCCATAGTTGTTGCCTGTGCTGTCGCCGTCGCCGTTGTTGCCGGTGCTGTCGCCGTTGATGTTGCTGTCGACGGGACACCCTAAGGACGAATGTAAGAGTTGACATTATCTACGTGTGAACACAGTCAGTGCACGTGTTCGTTATGCATATTGTGTAGCGTGCCTGGACAAACTCCAGGTGGCCCAAACAAATGTTTCCCAATAAGCACGTCTGTTACCGACCCTAAGACATACCTTGTTTCTTCAAGGAGATTTACATTCAACAGTATATAGCTATAACCCTGACAATAAAACAACGCTTAGTCATCAATGTGAGTTATGAACTGAGTGGCAAATCCTTCATTTTGCCTTAGCTCATCTCCCGAGTACCTGAACACTGAAATACGAATTCATGTGTCATCTCTCGTTTTCATAAATATGAAGTTCCGAGAACTGATAACAATTCATCGAGTAGTTCTATTATTAGTGGAAGAGAATATCGCGCGGTTCAGAGACTCGATGACGTCATTGCGCAGACGGAAGACGTATAACCAACACTGTATGTAGCTTGTCAACATCAAGATGTCGCGTCATCACAATACTAGTATGCTGTTCACATTGGTGTAAAACATAAATTCATTCTGTATCCGACTTACATGTGCCTTTAGCCTCCTGTTTTCCTCCTTCAGAAAACGGTTCTCCTCAAGGACTCGCTGGTTCTCCTCATGGAGTCGCCGGTTCTCCTCGCGGAGCTGGAGGAGCTCAGCCTCGACAAGCTGCCAAAAACAAATGTAAGATGTCAGCCTATTGCATTTATAATGCTTCATATTTTGCCCACCGTGCGTAAATAGGCTTAAAACCCCTCTCACCCACATCCTAGTGAAATAAACACAAAACACGACACATGAGAGTAAGACGGTAGGCATGTACACAGAACTAGTAGCGTGTATAGATCTAGAAGAACGGGTTGCAGCAGTTAATCCAACCAAAACTATTGTGTTTACTCACATTCAATGGCGCCGCCCCCCGATGACGTGCCACTGTTGTCCTCGTTGCTGCCGGTGTGGTCGTCATCGGGGTGGCAAAGGGCGTCGAGGAAGTAGAAGCCCTTGACGTCGACGGTGTCTGGTCAGATGCCTGCTGCTGGGTCGACTGGGTAGGCTGGGGTGCCCGGGTAGACTGGGGTCCCTGCTGCTGGGTAGACTGGGGTGTCTGCTGCTGAGTCGACTGGGTAGACTGGGGTCCCTGCTGTTGGGTCGCTGCGGGTGCCTGCGGGGCTAAACCAAGTGATCTTAGAAAACTGTACATGATTCCTAGAAATCTTGAAATAATCGCTATAAATACTATTGACAATGGAAAATCGCAGAGATCGTTAAACGAGATGCGGGATGCGACTGTGGAAGTAACCATGTTTTATAGTCCAACCTGAAGGAGCAACCATTTGATGTCAAGGGGGTGGGAGGTCGGGGATTGGGGAGCTTGATTTGTTTAAGCTTAGATCACTTTACACAGACATTTGACTCTTCGATAATACAATACCCACTTTCTGTAGGAAAAGGGCACATAGCTGTTTTCAGTAAAACAGGGCCTGGGGTCTTGTTTTAGAAAATATCGCTCCCCCTCCCCCTCCCCCCCCGTGAATAAGATGGTTGCTCCCATAGTCCCATTCCAACCAGCAAGCACGTGCACAGGGACTATTAGGATGTTCAGGAACAAGCAACTGAAAGTGTGAACATTGTCGTAGTCTCGTGATGCTCGTGCATATAGCCATGTCACCAGCCCTTGAAACAATGGGGAGACGTCACCAACCTCCACGCAAAGACGCTCTTGCTGGACATGTCGAGCGTGCTCTACTCGAGTATCAGGCCTTGCACCTTTCATGGAACATCAGCCAGACAGTGGAAATCAACATATGGAAAAACATCCCACACACAATGTTTTACAAATAACATCATTTGCAGTTGATCGTTCTTGAACATTACCATGTTTCAACGTCCATTGTCCAAAGGCTATCGTAAAATTCAGTCAGTATTGTTAGAATAGCTGTACATTTCATGCTTTTCCTAACCGGCATGCATACCACATTTGTAAACTTTATTATCAGTGGTACGGATTTCATTAAAGTACATTTTCAGAAATAACCTGATGGATACTAACTTCTATATTTGATTTGACAGGGATCCCTACAAGTAAGGGGGGGCGGTGGGGTAGCCTATGGGATATAACATTCGCTCGGCAAGCCGAAGGCCGGTTCGATTCCCCTCATTGGTGGACCGCCTACGTGGTCTTGTGGTTGGTTGGTTGGTTGGTTGGTTGGTTGTTTAACGCCGCACTCAGCAATATTCAAGCTATATGACAGCAGTTTTCTACCCTGGATCTACCTGGTCGGTATTGTGGTAAAACGTCTGTCCGGGGAGCGGAAGGTCGGGTTTCGATCCCAGGCGGCGTCATACCAAAAGACTAAAAGATGGTACTTGATGTTACCCTGGCGCTCGGCATTCGGTGGCTAAAACAGCGGGCTTGCACTATACAATCGGCATTAGTCCAGGTCAGTACAAGCAAGCAAACGCACGCACGCACGCACGCACGCACGCACGCACGCACGCACGCACGCACGCACGCACACGTAAGGACGTCGCTTTCTGGGTGCAATAATCTTGAACGCGACGTTACCTGCTGTTTATTTGATTCATTTTTAATACAATAACTTTTAAATATCGATTTTGAGTAGAATGTCTGATCTTGTAAGATGTATTGAGAGATTACAGACATGGGTTTTAAATGTAAATTTATGTTGTGTATAGAGAGAATAGCGTGAATGGGTCGTTTAGCGATATATAATCCAACTTGTGGCGCAGACGGTGTTATCCTGTTTAATTTGTGATAATATTTGATACGTTTCTGTGTTCAGTAAATTTTGACGTAAGTCTCCCACTTTCATTGTGATCTGTCAGTAATCTGAACAGTCAAACCAGTTGCTGACAGAATGATGTACCACTGCCGTCGCTACCACCGCTACTACTACACCACTGTTACTACGGGGGCACGGGTGGCCCGGTCGTCTAAGGCGACGCCATTTGCTGATTAGAGTTGCGTCCCTTGGGCATGCCAGAAACCTATGATTGTGGGTTCGAATCCCGGTTCACCCAAATTATGTTTCTAGGTTTGTCAGCACCATACCCGTGCTCGTAGGTTTTACTGAAGCGGTAAACGTCTAAGACGTTCGGGCATCACTTCGGGCTTTCCTCCCACATTAAGCTGACACGCCGTGATATGACTGGAATATGGTTCAACGCGGCCAACTCACTCACTGTTACTACGACTAACGCTCCCACATACACCACCACCACTACCTCTACACCACCGTCACCACGACGACCTCCAACACCACCATTATTACTACTACTGCAACTACTACTACTACTACAACTACTACTACTACTACTACTACCACTGCCTCTACTACAATTACTACAGCTACTACTTCTGCTGCCGCTTCGACACACTACTGCTACTACTGTTGCTGCTGTTGCTGCTGCTAGTATTAATACCCTGCTGTTGTACTACGACTACTGCTGCTACTACTACTAGTGTTAATGTTGGTGCTGCTGCTGCTACTACTACTGCTGTTGCTGATGTTACTACTATTAGTACTACTACTACTATTGTTTCTACTGCTGCTGCAACTATTACTACTTCTACTAACAATAATAATTCATATCCACCTGCTACTACTACTACTACTACTACCACCACTTCTACCACTACTACTATTGCTACTACGACGTCGACCACCACCAGCACCACCACCACACCAACAACAATAACAGAAAGACCATCTACTGCCGCTACTGCCGCTACTGCCGCTACTCGGGATGGCGTATTGACAGGTTAATCTTATGACACAATATATCAAATGCTTGGATTAAGCAAGGTTATAAAATATCTATGTTTGCCATATAATACAGAAAAGCAAGACTTTTCTACATTGTATCTATCTCAAAATTGGAAGATATATTATTATTGGAACCCTACTAAATAACAATGAAAACCAGATAGTAGGTGATTACTATCAATCGTTATAATAGTTATAAATCACTTGTGATCACCATTGTTAACACTATTGACGAAAAAGGAAATTATTGTTGCTTTCATTTATATACACGTATCAAAGAAACGGAAGTGTTTTGTTATGAGCATTGTGTAAATCTGTCACGAATTTCGTATAAGCATCTATCAACCACAGCGCTTTTCATGAACGTTTGTAGAATGATATATATAGATAAGGGAAAGGCCACCTTTCGCAGACATTTTGAATGCTGCACACCTTTGGTTGTTGTGCTCAATATTTGCAAAAGTTTCACGGGTACCACCTATGTTTACGGTGAGCAAATGACTTGCCTTTGCATGTGTTTGTGACGGGTGCTCATCTTTTTGTGAACGCCTAGTATTATCACTATTTGATCGATCGTACTTAATAAAGGATAAACGTTCAGGATCGAGGACTGTTTGAAATGCAGTTAGACGATGCCAGAGAGAGAATGTGTCTGTTTTCAGCCTTTATATACGTTGTTTTGTACTTCCTTCATCGATGTTCATGTATGCCAGCTCGCAGGTGTACATCCCGGGTCGCCCCGGTTATGTTTCTAGGTTTGTCAGCACCATACCCGTGCTCGTGGGTTTCACCGAAGTGGTATACGTCTGAGATCTGCATCACTTCGAGCTTTCCTCCCACATTAAGCTGACACGCCGTGATATAACTGGAATACTGTTAAAAGCGGCGTTAAACCCAACTCACTCACTCACTCACTCACTCACTCGCATGTGTACACGTAGGGTGAAAACCTCGGTCTCTTTGATGCGAAAATTATGCTTACTTTACACCATGAAGCTGAGGTACGTTACTTACCTGGAAGTGGCCAGCCCAAGTAAATCAATCAATTTTCCAGATGAGTAACGATAACATGCTATTTCCCTTTCTTAGCAATGATTTTCACATTACTCAATAGATACTCAAAATGATGAAGATAGTCGCCGCTCTTGTTGCCTGCCTGGCTGGTACCGCCTTTGCCGAGCCTACCGGTCTGTATGGTGGAATTGGTGGATTGTACGGAGGCATGGGAGGTCTACGGAATCGGATTAGGCAAACCTATTTCACAATATATATTATTTGTTTATCTGTATCCGACTATATACCTACAGTCACGTGTGCAAAATGATATAATTTACCTATGCGATATTACTACGCGACAAAACTGACGACATTTACAAAACATCTTTAAAACTATTCTCTGCTTTCTCTAATATTTGGTATAGTTTAACATGCAGCTAGTCTCAAGACTTCGTTGTGACTTATCCATACATATCCACTTTATTCTACTATATTGTGTTTCAGGTATCGGCTATTATTGAGTTATTATCACCTGCAGTGTGATGCTGACTATTTATGTATATTCTCAAACCAGTGGAATTGGTTCAATAAAATCTTGTCATATTTATTTACGCCTTGAACTTTGTTTGAGAATCTTAAAGCTGAATCGAATGTTTACAATGGAAGAGTAATCTATGTTTATCCATATTGTAACATATAGGTAGTACGTGTTTTCGACCCATATCCAAGCACTTAAATGATATTGCTTTTTCGACACAAAGATAATAAGGCGTGACAGAGGCTAAACATCCGTTCCCTACTTCAGTCGACTCTCACAACAAGAATAGGTCAGTGTGAACTTTTTCTAACCCACCCATCACCCCCTGCCCCCTGAATCCAACATAACATCCGATAAGAAATATACCCAAGATTCACTATGATAATGCTCTATGGTCGAGATCATGCTATGGATTGTATATTTCTGACTGCGTCGTTGATAATAATGAGCTACGACACTTGCAAAACGTGATATCTTCAATGAATTACCTGCAGCTGTGAGGCATAGGACACTTATCAAACATAATATATACAATATATATCCTCATCCAATGCCCTATACGAGACTTATAAAACTAAAAAGTCACTATTGTTTTCCTGATGCAATAAGCTCTACGACACTAATCAACATAACATTAACAATATATTTCCTGATGCAATAGGCTTTACGACATAAAATAAACATAACATTAACAATATATTTCCTGATGCAATAGGCTTTACGACACTAATAAACATAACATTAACAATATATTTCCTGATGCAATAAGCTTTACGACACTAATAAACATAACATTAACAATATATTTCCTGATGCAATAGGCTTTACGACACTAATAAACATAACATTAACAATATATTTCCTGATGCAATAAGCTTTACGACACTAATTAAAATAACATTAACAATATATTTCCTGATGCAATAGGCTTTATGACACTAATAAACATAACATTAACAATATATTTCCTAATGCAATAGGCTTTACGAAACTAATAAACATAACATTAACAATATATTTCCTGATGCAATAAGCTCTACGACACTTATAAACATAACATTAACAATATATTTCCTGATGCAATAGGCTCTACGACAATAATAAACATAACATTAACAATATATTTCCTGATGCAATAGGCTTTACGACACTAATAAACATAACATTAACAATATATTTCCTGATGCAATAGGCTTTACGACACTAATAAACATAACATTAACAATATATTTCCTGATGCAATAAGCTTTACGACACTAATAAACATAACATTAACAATATATTTCCTGATGCAATAAGCTTTACGACACTAATAAACATAACATTAACAATATATTTCCTGATGCAATAAGCTTTACGACACTAATAAACATAACATTAACAATATATTTCCTGATGCAATAAGCTTTACGACACTAATTAAAATAACATTAACAATATATTTCCTGATGCAATAGGCTTTATGACACTAATAAACATAACATTAACAATATATTTCCTAATGCAATAGGCTTTAAGAAACTAATAAACATAACATTAACAATATATTTCCTGATGCAACAGGCTTTACGACACTAATAAACATAACATTAACAATATATTTCCTGATGCAATAGGCTTTACGACACTAATAAACATAACATTAACAATATATTTCCTGATGCAATAAGCTTTACGACACTAATTAACATAACATTAACAATATATTTCCTGATGCAATAGGCTTTATGACACTAATAAACATAACATTAACAATATATTTCCTAATGCAATAGGCTTTACGAAACTAATAAACATAACATTAACAATATATTTCCTGATGCAATAGGCTTTACGACACTAATAAACATAACATTAACAATATATTTCCTGATGCAATAAGCTTTACGACACTAATAAACATAACATTAACAATATATTTCCTGATGCAATAAGCTTTACGACACTAATAAACATAACATTAACAATATATTTCCTGATGCAATAAGCTTTACGACACTAATAAACATAACATTAACAATATATTTCCTGATGCAATAAGCTTTACGACACTAATTAAAATAACATTAACAATATATTTCCTGATGCAATAGGCTTTATGACACTAATAAACATAACATTAACAATATATTTCCTAATGCAATAGGCTTTAAGAAACTAATAAACATAACATTAACAATATATTTCCTGATGCAACAGGCATTACGACACTAATAAACATAACATTAACAATATATTTCCTGATGCAATAGGCTTTACGACACTAATAAACATAACATTAACAATATATTTCCTGATGCAATAAGCTTTACGACACTAATTAACATAACATTAACAATATATTTCCTGATGCAATAGGCTTTATGACACTAATAAACATAACATTAACAATATATTTCCTAATGCAATAGGCTTTACGAAACTAATAAACATAACATTAACAATATATTTCCTGATGCAATAAGCTTTACGACACTAATAAACATAACATTAACAATATATTTCCTGATGCAATAAGCTTTACGACACTAATAAACATAACATTAACAATATATTTCCTGATGCAATAAGTTTAAGCTTTACGACACTAATTAACATAACATTAACAATATATTTCCTGATGCAATAGGCTTTATGACACTAATAAACATAACATTAAATATATAATTCCTAATGCAATAGGCTTTACGAAACTAATAAACATAACATTAACAATATATTTCCTGATGCAATAGGCTTTACGACACTTATAAACATAACATTAACAATATGTTTCCTGATGCAATAGGCTCTACGACAATAATAAACATAACATTAACAATATATTTCCTGATGCAATAGGCTTTACGACACTAATAAACATAACATTAACAATATATTTCCTGATGCAATAAGCTTTACGACACTAATAAACATAACATTAACAATATATTTCCTGATGCAATAGGCTTTACGACACTAATAAACATAACATTAATAATATATTTCCTGATGCAATAACCTTTACGACACTAATAAACATAACATTAACAATATATTTCCTGATGCAATAAGCTTTACGACACTAATAAACATAACATTAACAATATTTTCCCTGATGCAATAAGCTTTACGACACTAATAAACATAACATTTACAATATATTTCCTGATGCAATAAGCTTTACGACACTAATAAACATAACATTAACAATATATTTCCTGATGCAATAAGCTTTACGACACTAATAAACATAACATTAACAATATTTTTCCTGATGCAATAGGCTCTACGACACTAATAAACGTAACATTAACAATACATTTCCTGATGCAATAGCCTCTACGACACTAATTAACATAACATTAACAATATATTTCCTGATGCAATAAGCTTTACGACATTAATTAACATAACATTAACAATATATTTCCTGATGCAATAAGCTTTACGACACTAATAAACATAACATAAACAATATATTTCCTGATGCAATAAGCTTTACGACACTAATAAACATAACATTTACAATATATTTCCTAATGCAATAAGCTGCACTGCACTTATAAAACATAGTATTCACAATATTTCCCCCGATGCTGAGCTGTATGATACTACTCGTCAAACACAACCAAGTCACCAGTCGTCGTATGTGAAAGACAAGACCACTTCCTGTTTACACGAAAGCGAAAGTAGGAATTTTATGTCAACACTAAAAATAGATGGTCATAGTTCCAGAAACATCGTTCATGATAATGTGTGGGAGTACCACCGAGATGGTACATGTATAATTACAAGGTTACAGGATAATTCCAACCGCTAAAGCTGTAAACAACAGTAACCTGAATCCTACCTCGGCTCCAACTCCCCGGGATCGGGCTGTCGTGACACAAAGGTGAGCGGCAGTTTTCACACATCTGGTTCATAGCTGTTTGAATGGCATTCTGGAAGTTGGTGAGTAAATAGGAAAACGTACAGCTTTATGGATAACGTCTGGTTTATTGCATGTATATTTACCATAGGCTATTACTATTACCGTTATATAAATTACTACTACTACTACTACCACTACTACTACTACTACTACAACTACTACTACTACTACTACTACTACTACTATTACTACTACTACTATCACTACTACTACTACTACTACTACTACTACTACTACTACTACCACTACTACTACCACTACTACTACTACTACTACTACGACTACTACTATTACTGCTTCAACTGTGGCTACTATCAGTACTACTGCTACTACTTCTGCTTCTACTATTACTAACGCTACCGCTGCTACTACTACTACTACTGCTACTACTACTACTACTACTACTACTGTTGCTACCGCCGTCATATAGCTGGAATATTGCTGAGTGCGGCGTTAAACAACAAACAAACAAACCTCTGATGCTACTCTTACTACTAATGCTGCTACTACTGCTACACCTACGTGGTCAAGTGGTAGAGCGTCTGTCCGGAGAGCGGAAGGTCCGGGGTTCGATCCCCAGCCGCGTCATACCAAAAGACGTTCAAAGATGGTACTAGTATTTACCCTGCCTGGCGCTGGGCATTAAGGGGCTTAAACAACGATAGGTCGGCTCGGAGTCAGTATACTGTTTCTGAGTGGGGTATTCATGTTAAACTGCGGCATGGTATCTCAGTGGGCTAGTACTATAAAATCGGCAACCTAAAAGTTATTCATGTTTTACAGATCCAACTGAATCTAAGGACCGTGTATAAATCTACAGTAAACTACGTTTATAACGAACACGCTTATGACGAACTGACGGATATAACGGATATTTTTTGGTCCCGACCATTTACTGTTTATACATGTATATATGCTTATTGCGAACTACGTTTATATCGAATTAAAATCAGTGCCCCCTTTGAGTTCGGTATAACCGTAGTTTTCTGTACATGTTCAGATATTCAGCTCTGCAGGTAAATTTGAAGTTCTTACCGACAGAATGCTGTCACACAATTTCTTGACTGACTGTAGAATAGGACACTGGATGAAAAATATCACCTTTAAAAAAAATCCAATGTTGTAATTGTAGACATACACTTGTTTACATATGTGTTCATTTAGATATACATTTATGTAAATGTCATGGTAAATGCCATATTACAACAACTGATAAGCGTAGTTGTCACTGAAAAATTAATAGAAAAGCAGAGAAAATCTGTTGTTGACGGGTCGGCAGAATTGTATACAGTTTAAAATATATTGTTAATGTCAAATTTTGTTTCGTCACGATATGGCTGAAATATTGTCGATGTGACGTTAAACTTTAACTCACTCACTCACTCACTCACTGTTGTTGACGGATCACGTAGTGTTGTCTGCATACTGATTTCCTTTCATAACCACCATCGTCCGTAGTCCGGTAACATTTCACATTTTCAAAGTTTACCGAATGGATTTATCTGTGGATGTCCAGCAAATCCCATGACAATAGACATTTGACAATAGTCACACTGGTTGCATGACATTATTCCTATTGATGCGAGATTGAGTTTGCAGGTCGTATGTGGGAAGTGAATGTAAAATGTTAACGCGAGAGGATAATCACGGATGTCATAGGGCGTATTAGGCCATAAAGCGGTGAAGGCAATATTAATGTGTTGATTCTGTCTATTCTTTTCATAACCTTTAAGTTGACAAAGGGGAGACAACTTATGGATAACAACTTCTTTATTCACTGTAAAGAAGACTTTTCGGTATACACCCTTAAACGTGAAACAGAAGACTTTCTGTTTGCTGCTCAGGACTAGTCACTTCCCACTCAAAACCGTCAATGTGTGATTTTGCGTCAAAATATAAATATGAAAAAAATTAATGTAGATTATGCAATGAATTTAATGAGACTGTCCAACACATTGTGAGTGGATGCCCAGCTTTGGCACAAACACAGTATCTTAAGTGACATGATAGAGTGGCTCGTTCATTTTATTACCGTCTTCGCAATGCTTGTGGTTTTGACACAGAGGTCCATCAATGGTACGTCCCAGAATATGTAGAGGGTGTCATGGAAAATGATAAATACAAAATTTCTTTGGAATAGGCCGGTAAACAGCCTCAGACGTATGCAGGCCATCAAACCTGATCTTGTCCTTTTTGATAAATCCAATAAAACCATTTATATTATTGAATTTTCTGTCCCTTTTGACATTAATGTGATTGACAAGATTAAGAAAAATATGCAGACTTCTTTTGCATCCCAAGTACCAAGTTGTCCGACTCCCCATTGTTCTCGGTGCCTTAGGTTTGGTACCTCCCAAACTGTTGACTGGGATATATAGTACCCGGGTTTGCTACCAGGAATACAGCCCTTCTGACAACCTGGGTAATGCAGAAGGCTGCAGTGTTGGGGAGTCTTCACATTCTCCGAAAAGTTCTTGGTGATAGGCAGCGCTTCCTGGGAGAAGTCCCATTCGCTGTATGGGCTGCGTGTAAAGGGGGCAAGGACCAGCCTGACTGTGCCAGGATCACCCAAACCCTCTTTGCTGCATTTCATATTTTAATCTGTAAATTCTCGACATTGCCATCTCATCTTACCGGGTACCCATTCACTGCTGGGTGAACAGAGGCACATTTCAAACAAAGTCACATGGCCAAGGAGACACCACATGTGTTTCATGTTCTTCAGTGTGGGGCAGGTCCAGATGTGCATCTAAAACACATCTTCTCTCTCAACAGGTATGAGTCAAGTATCACAGATAACTCTTGTGTCTGGGGAGCTGGCACGAAACACAGTGAGTAGTCTTTCCGCTTGACATTCCTATAGAGAACAGTGCTTTACTGCAGGTGGTACGGTAGGCATTCCTATAGAGAACATTGATTTACTGTAGGTGGTACGGTCGACAGTCCTGTAGAGAACATAGATTTACTGCAGGTGGTACGGTAGGCATTCCTATAGAGAACATTGATTTACTGCAGGTGGTACGGTCGACATTCCTATAGAGAACATTGATTTACTGCAGGTGGTACGGTAGGTATTCCTATAGAGAACATTGATTTACTGCAGGTGGTACGGTAGGCATTCCTATAGAGAACATTGATTTACTGCAGGTGGTACGGTTGACATTCCTATAGAGAACATTGATTTACTGCAGGTGGTACGGTCGACATTCCTATAGAGAACATTGATTTACTGCAGGTGGTACGGTAGGCATCCCCATAGAGAACATTGATTTACTGCAGGTGGTACGGTCGACATTTCTATAGAGAACATTGATTTACTGCAGGTGGTACGGTAGGCATTCCTATAGAGAACATTGATTTACTTCGTGCCAGTCCTGTGATACATTGCTTTACTGCAGGTGGTACGGTAAACATTCCTATATAGAACATACCTATGCTGCGGGTAGTACGGTAGACATCCCTATAGAGAACATTGCTTAACTGTAGGTGGTACGGTAGGCATCCCTATAGAGAACTTTGCTTTACTGTAGGTGGTGGGTAGGCATTCCTATAGAGAACATTGATTTACTGCAGGTGGTACGGTCGACATTCCTGTAGAGAACATAGATTTACTGCAGGTGGTACGGTAGGCATTCCTATAGAGAACATTGATTTACTGCAGGTGGTACGGTCGACATTCCTATAGAGAACATTGATTTACTGTAGGTGGTACGGTAGGCATTCCTATAGAGAACATTGATTTACTGCAGGTGGTACGGTCGACATTCCTATAGAGAACATTGATTTACTGCAGGTGGTACGGTCGACATTCCTATAGAGAACATTGATTTACTGCAGGTGGTACGGTAGGCATTCCTATAGAGAACATTGATTTACTGCAGGTGGTACGGTCGACATTCCTATAGAGAACATTGATTTACTGCAGGTGGTACGGTAGGCATTCCTATAGAGAACATTGATTTACTGCAGGTGGTACGGTAGGCATTCCTATAGAGAATATTGATTTACTGCAGGTGGTACGGTTGACATTTCTATAGAGAACATTGATTTACTGCAGGTGGTACGGTAGGCATTCCTATTGAGAACATTGATTTACTTCGTGCCAGTCCTGTGATACATTGCTTTACTGCAGGTGGTACGGTAAACATTCCTATATAGAACATACCTATACTGCGGGTAGTACGGTAGACATCCCTATAGAGAACATTGCTTTACTATAGGTGGTACGGTACCCGGTAGGCATCCCTATACAGAACATTGCTTTACTGTAGGTGGTACGGTAGGCATTCCTATAGAGAACATTGATTTACTGTAGGTGGTACGGTAGACATCCCTATAGAGAACATTGCTTTACTGTAGGTGGTACGGTAGGCATTCCTATAGAGAACATTGATTTACTGTAGGTGGTACGGTAGACATCCCTATAAAGAACATTGCTTTACTGTAGGTGGTACGGTAGACATCCCTATAGAGAACATTGCTTTACTGTAGGTGGTGGGTAGGCATCCCTATAGAGAACATTGCTTTACTGCAGGTGGTACGGTAGGCATTCCTATAGAGAACATTGCTTTACTGTAGGTGGTACGGTAGGCATCCCTATAGAGAACATTGCTTACTGTAGGTGGTGGGTAGGCATCCCTATAGAGAACATTGCTTTACTGCAGGTGGTAAGGTAGACAGTCCTATAGAGAACATTGATTTACTGCAGGTGGTACGGTAGACAGTCCTATAGAGAACATTGATTTACTGCAGGTGGTACAGTAGACTTTCCTTTAGAGAACATTGATTTACTGCAGGTGGTACGGTAGGCATCCCTATAGAGAACATTGCTTTACTGTAGGTGGTGGGTAGGCATCCCTATAGAGAACATTGCTTTACTGCAGGTGGTACGGTAGGCATTCCTATAGAGAACATTGATTTACTGCAGGTGGTACGGTCGACATTCCTGTAGAGAACATAGATTTACTGCAGGTGGTACGGTAGGCATTCCTATAGAGAACATTGATTTACTGCAGGTGGTACGGTCGACATTCTTATAGAGAACATTGATTTACTGTAGGTGGTACGGTAGGCATTCCTATAGAGAACATTGCTTTACTGCAGGTGGTACGGTCGACATTCCTATAGAGAACATTGATTTACTGCAGGTGGTACGGTAGGCATTCCTATAGAGAACATTGATCTACTGCAGGTGGTACGGTAGGCATTCCTATAGAGAACATTGATTTACTGCAGGTGGTACGGTCGACATTCCTATAGAGAACATTGATTTACTGCAGGTGGTACGGTAGACATTCCTATAGAGAACATTGATTTACTGCAGGTGGTACGGTAGGCATTCCTATAGAGAATATTGATTTACTGCAGGTGGTACGGTCGACATTTCTATAGAGAAGATTGATTTACTGCAGGTGGTACGGTCGACATTCCTATAGAGAACATTGATTTACTGCAGGTGGTACGGTCGGCATTCCTATAGAGAACATTGATTTACTGCAGGTGGTACGGTAGGCATTCCTATTGAGAACATTGATTTACTTCGTGCCAGTCCTGTGATACATTGCTTTACTGCAGGTGGTACGGTAGACATTCCTATAGAGAACATTGATTTACTGCAGGTGGTACGGTAGGCATTCCTATAGAGAACATTGCTTTACTGCAGGTGGTACGGTAGGCATTCCTATAGAGAATATTGATTTACTGCAGGTGGTACGGTAGGCATTCCTATAGAGAACATTGATTTACTGCAGGTGGTACCGTAGGCATTCCTATAGAGAACATTGATTTACTTCGTGCCAGCCCTGTGATACATTGCTTTACTGCAGGTGGTACGATAAACATTCCTATATAGAACATACCTATACTGCGGGTAGTACAATAGACATCCCTATAGAGAACATTGCTTTACTGCAGGTGGTACGGTAGGCATCCCTATAGAGAACATTGCTTTACTGTAGGTGGTACGGTAGGCATTCCTATAGAGAACATTGATTTACTTCGTGCCAGTCCTGTGATACATTGCTTTACTGCAGGTGGTACGGTAAACATTCCTATATAGAACATACCTATACTGCGGGTAGTACGGTAGACATCCCTATAGAGAACATTGCTTTACTGTAGGTGGTACGGTAGGCATCCCTATAGAGTACATTGCTTTACTGTAGGTGGTACGGTAGTCATTCCAATAGAGAACATTGATTTACTGTAGGTGGTACGGTAGACATCCCTATAGAGAACATTGCTTTACTGTAGGTGGTACGGTAGGCATTCCGATAGAGAACATTGATTTACTGTAGGTGGTACGGTAGACATTCCTATAGAGAACATTGCTTTACTGTAGGTGGTACGGTACCCGGTAGGCATCCCTATAGAGAACATTGCTTTACTGTAGGTGGTACGGTAGGCATCCCTATAGAGAACATTGCTTTACTGTAGGTGGTGGGTAGGCATCCCTATAGAGAACATTGCTTTACTGCAGGTGGTAAGGTAGACAGTCCTATAGAGAACATTGATTTACTGCAGGTGGTACAGTAGACAGTCCTATAGAGAACATTGATTAACTGCAGGTGGTACAGTAGACTTTCCTTTAGAGAACATTGATTTACTGCAGGTGGTACAGTAGACTTTCCTTTAGAGAACATTGATTTACTGCAGGTGGTACGGTAGACATTCCTATGGAGAACATTGCTTTACTGCAGGTGGTACAGTAGGCATTCCTATAGAGAACAGTGCTTTACTGCAGGTGGTACGGTAGGCATTCCTATAGAGAACATTGATTTACTGCAGGTGGTACGGTCGACATTCCTGTAGAGAACATAGATTTACTGCAGGTGGTACGGTAGGCATTCCTATAGAGAACATTGATTTACTGCAGGTGGTACGGTCGACATTGCTATAGAGAACATTGATTTACTGTAGGTGGTACGGTAGGCATTCCTATAGAGAACATTGATTTACTGCAGGTGGTACGGTCGACATTCCTATAGAGAACATTGATTTACTGCAGGTGGTACGGTAGGCATTCCTATAGAGAACATTGATTTACTGCAGGTGGTACGGTAGGCATTCCTATAGAGAACATTGATTTACTGCAGGTGGTACGGTCGACATTCCTATAGAGAACATTGATTTACTGCAGGTGGTACGGTAGACATTCCTATAGAGAACATTGATTTACTGCAGGTGGTACGGTAGGCATTCCTATAGAGAATATTGATTTACTGCAGGTGGTACGGTCGACATTTCTATAGAGAAGATTGATTTACTGCAGGTGGTACGGTCGACATTCCTATAGAGAACATTGATTTACTGCAGGTGGTACGGTCGGCATTCCTATAGAGAACATTGATTTACTGCAGGTGGTACGGTAGGCATTCCTTTTGAGAACATTGATTTACTTCGTGCCAGTCCTGTGATACATTGCTTTACTGCAGGTGGTACGGTAGACATTCCTATAGAGAACATTGATTTACTGCAGGTGGTACCGTAGGCATTCCTATAGAGAACATTGATTTACTTCGTGCCAGCCCTGTGATACATTGCTTTACTGCAGGTGGTACGATAAACATTCCTATATAGAACATACCTATACTGCGGGTAGTACAATAGACATCCCTATAGAGAACATTGCTTTACTGCAGGTGGTACGGTAGGCATCCCTATAGAGAACATTGCTTTACTGTAGGTGGTACGGTAGGCATTCCTATAGAGAACATTGATTTACTTCGTGCCAGTCCTGTGATACATTGCTTTACTGCAGGTGGTACGGTAAACATTCCTATATAGAACATACCTATACTGCGGGTAGTACGGTAGACATCCCTATAGAGAACATTGCTTTACTGTAGGTGGTACGGTAGGCATCCCTATAGAGTACATTGCTTTACTGTAGGTGGTACGGTAGGCATTCCTATAGAGAACATTGATTTACTGTAGGTGGTACGGTAGACATCCCTATAGAGAACATTGCTTTACTGTAGGTGGTACGGTAGGCATTCCGATAGAGAACATTGATTTACTGTAGGTGGTACGGTAGACATTCCTATAGAGAACATTGCTTTACTGTAGGTGGTACGGTACCCGGTAGGCATCCCTATAGAGAACATTGCTTTACTGTAGGTGGTACGGTAGGCATCCCTATAGAGAACATTGCTTTACTGTAGGTGGTGGGTAGGCATCCCTATAGAGAACATTGCTTTACTGCAGGTGGTAAGGTAGACAGTCCTATAGAGAACATTGATTTACTGCAGGTGGTACAGTAGACAGTCCTATAGAGAACATTGATTTACTGCAGGTGGTACAGTAGACTTTCCTTTAGAGAACATTGATTTACTGCAGGTGGTACAGTAGACTTTCCTTTAGAGAACATTGATTTACTGCAGGTGGTACGGTAGACATTCCTATGGAGAACATTGCTTTACTGCAGGTGGTACAGTAGGCATTCCTATAGAGAACAGTGCTTTACTGCAGGTGGTACGGTAGGCATTCCTATAGAGAACATTGCTTTAATGTAGGTGGTACGGTAGACAGTCCTATAGAGAACATTGATTTACTGCAGGTGGTACAGTAGACTTTTCTTTAGAGAACATTGGTTTACTGCAGCTGGTGCGGTAGACATTCCTATAGAGAACATTGATTTACTGCAGGTGGTACAGTAGACTTTTCTTTAGAGAACATTGCTTTACTGCAGGTGGTACGGTAAACATTCCTATATAGAACATACCTATACTGCGGGTAGTACGGTAGACATCCCTATAGAGAACATTGCTTTACTGTAGGTGGTACGGTAGGCATCCCTATAGAGAACATTGCTTTACTGTAGGTGGTACGGTAGGCATTCCTATAGAGAACATTGATTTACTGTAGGTGGTACGGTAGACATCCCTATAGAGAACATTGCTTTACTGTAGGTGGTACGGTAGGCATTCCTATAGAGAACATTGATTTACTGTAGGTGGTGCGGTAGACATTCCTATAGAGAACATTGCTTTACTGTAGGTGGTACGGTACCCGGTAGGCATCCCTATAGAGAACATTGCTTTACTGTAGGTGGTACGGTAGGCATCCCTATAGAGAACATTGCTTACTGTAGGTGGTGGGTAGGCATCCCTATAGAGAACATTGCTTTACTGCAGGTGGTAAGGTAGACAGTCCTATAGAGAACATTGATTTACTGCAGGTGGTACAGTAGACAGTCCTATAGAGAACATTGATTTACTGCAGGTGGTACAGTAGACTTTCCTTTAGAGAACATTGATTTACTGCAGGTGGTACAGTAGGCATTCCTATAGAGAACAGTGCTTTACTGCAGGTGGTACGGTAGGCATTCCTATAGAGAACATTGCTTTAATGTAGGTGGTACGGTAGACAGTCCTATAGAGAACATTGATTTACTGCAGGTGGTACAGTAGACTTTTCTTTAGAGAACATTGGTTTACTGCAGCTGGTGCGGTAGACATTCCTATAGAGAACATTGATTTACTGCAGGTGGTACAGTAGACTTTTCTTTAGAGAACATTGGTTTACTGCAGTTGGTGCGGTAGACATTCCTATAGAGAACATTGATTTACTTCGTGCCAGTCCTATATAGGACATTGGTTCATTGTAGGCTGATGTCATCGTGAGTAGTACCGGCAACGACGGCAATCTGTCGAACGGTTCCGTATCCTACTCGCTGCTGGAGGCGGGAGGACAAGCCATTCAAGAGGAGGTAACTCGGTGCTGTTCAGATGGAAAGCTGCAGACTGGGTCCTTAGTGACCACACGTGGTGGGAACCTGAGGTGTAAGAACATATTCCACGTCGTGTTGTCACAATGGACATGTCTCAACGACGAGTCTGAGGAGGTATGTTACCATAGTAATGTTAGTCCTTCATGAAACAGATCATGGAGTTTGTGGAATTTTTAATACTCCGTCCAAATCCTCTTGTTTCCTTATTGGGCTTCCCCTTTTCCTGATTATTTGTTGAAACAGTTCGGGTTATCAATGTCTCCGTGTGTAACTCTGAATAGAAGGAATAACAGCTGTGGTTGCAGAACGCTGTTCTTAAAACGAATGACTAGTAAAACAATACAGATGCTAGTGTCCATGGTAACCATGTGTCCAGAGGTGATATCCATGTTTCTCTGTATAGCTACTGCTGTCCTTGGTGTCCCTGTGTCTGGAGAATGCAGCCAAGAGGAACTTCACCTCCATTGCCTTTCCTGCCCTGGGAACAGGGTTCAACCGATTCCCGGGCGAGAGAACTGCAGAAATAATATTCACCTCTATAGAAACATATCTGCAGAATAACCCCACCTCCTGCTTGAAGACTGTGAACATTGTCATTCACCCGAGAGATGCTGTTCTTCAAAAGGTACAACATTCTGCAACACTTAATGCAACTCCACACAGAGACACAGTTATGCACGTCTTGCTTTGCGCACTATTCTAGACTATAAGGATGACCAAACTGAATTCTGCAATGACCGTTATCAATGTTCTCGAGACGCCTGTGTATATTATTATAAATTGTTTATTCAGGATTTCGAAGCGAGGCGAGATGGGAGGTCAGCAGCACACGCCAACTTCATCAGCAAGGAAGTGAACTTGATGAAGACATTCACCCAGCAGGCAGGGAGCAGCGAACGTGAGCATTTTTGCTCATTACATCTTCTCCCATAACGACCTGTTTATCTCTTTAACTTTGAATCCCTATTTCTTACACTGCTACAGTGACTGCTGCAGTATGATTGCCATTGTGCTGCTACTATAGTTCACACATAGTCAATTTGCTTACACCCAAGACCTCACAAATGTTACTCCATCTCTCTTCTATTGCTGACCGCCTCCGTGGTCTAGGGGTAGAGCGTCCGCCCGGAGAGCGGAAGGTCGTGGGTTCGATTCCCGGCCGCCTCACACCAAAGGACGTTAAAAGATGGTACTGGCGTTCGGCATTAAGGGGCCAAAACAAGGTCGGATCGGCTCTGAGTCAGTATACTGTGTCTGAGTGGGGTGTTCACTGCGGCATGGTATCTCAGTGAGCAAGCACTATAAATCGCCATTAGTCCGGACTTGTACAAGCCGCCACACACACGTGCATGCACGTCGCTATTTTAATGCAATAATCTTGGACGCGATGTTAAACCCCATTTCACCTCACCTCGGCTAATGCTGCTTCCTGTACTGATCCGCCGGTGACTACCATCACAATCACATTAACTACCACTACTACTTCTATTGTTGCGACTACAACTACTACTACTACTACTGCTAATGCCGTTACTACTACTGCTACTACTACTGCTTTTACCACCACCACTACTACTACTGCTACTGCTACTGCTACTGCTGCTGCTACTGCTACTGCTACTTCCGCTACTACTACTATTACTAGTGATTGTATTGTTTTGCTTCTACTATGTTGGGCTATATATGTAAGCGTCATGGCCATGATATGAAACGATTCGAATAAAAGCATTCATGCTCAGATTAGTGGCAAGCCTGATGATTGTTGTCCATAACACAACTGCACAGGTAGATCGTGTGTGGCAGAATTGTCTGGTCCGGTATCTAACAGCCACCTTACAATTTTACTTCAGCCTGTGCGGTGAAAGTGGTCATTGGCAACCTCGCGAAGCTCCAGGTTGGTATATTTCAATATATATTTAGATACATGACTGCGTTGGTACTGCATTACAACTGTCCTATTTTAACCGCCATCTGCTTATGTTGTGTTAGTTATCAGGACAACCGTTAAGGGGAATTCTGTGGAAGATTATTTAAAAAGTTTTCAATTAAGGCATTTCAGACATAGAGCGATATATACATAAAGAAAAAAATATCGCAACACCCAGATATGTAAGCTGTCAAGTGACCATGTTGACAAATATATATACACAGGCAATCTTGAAATGAAAATTATGGCATGTCCTGTCCTCCATACCAGTCATGATGAGATGCATGTCGAGCACGTGTCCGGTCTACGGCACAAGGAAAGCATGCACCCCTTGCAACGTGAACATCATGTTTTGGAGATCTGTCACTGTATTGAGTAAAGGTTACAAGTCATTGTTTACTCTGTCAGAATTTAGCAATGGGTCCTCGACAACTCAGTACGGAAAAAAGATGTCAAGTTATTGGCATGAGCAATGCCGGTATGTCAATGAGAGAGATTGCAAAGCAATTGGGTCACCATCCTTCAACCATTAGTCGATTGTTACGAAAGTATCATCAGACTAATGATGTCAAGGACCGTCATCGTCCTGGTAGACCTCGCTGTACGTCAGCAAGAGAGGATGCAGCTCTTATGAGGATTGTACGGCGGTTTCCTTTTGCACCAAGCTCTGTTCTGAAAAAGGAGTGGTTACCTCACCGTCGCATATGCCACAGAACTGTCCGTATTCGACTTAAAGATGCTGGATATCGTGCAAGCAGACCTGTCAGAAGACCTCTGTTGTCACGTGAACACAAGGCAGCCCGATTGGCATGGTGTCGAACACGTAATCACTTGAATATTGCATCATGGCGGAAAATCCAATGGTCTGACGAGAGTCGCTTTCATGTCAGATGGTAGAGAACGTGTTTGGCGACGTAATAACATTCTGGAACAAGTTCCATTTGGCGGCGGCTCTGTTATGATCTGTGGTTGCTTGTCATATGACTGCAAGCTGCCACTGGTAACAGTGAGAGGCAACCTTGATGGCCAACGATACCAAACAGTTGTAGTGCCTCATTTTGACAATCATGCTCTAAACACAAGGCCAGTCTTCCTAGATGATATCGAGCAACCACACCGTGCGCGTGCTGTTATGGGTTTTCTGCGTCAAGAGGATGTCACTACCCCACCTTGGCCAGTCCAATATCTGGGACATTCAGTCAGAGGGAGCCACCACTGCAGAATATTGATGAATTGGAACAGGCACTACACGAGGAGTGGAACATTCTCACACAGGAACAGATCAGACGAGTCATAAGGTCAATGAGGAGGAGGATTGAACATGTGATTCAAGCTGGAGGAGGTTACACCAGATATGTTTCACTGTTTTGCAAACTCGATGAACTTTCCGAGGATGACATGACTGGAAATTGTCTTATGAATTCAGATAGACCTGTTTTAGCCATAGTTATTCGCACTGGATATTTTCCATTTCTTGGGTCTTTTTGGTAACTCAACATAAACACATTACGATCTTTACTGACAATTTCATTCCAACGTTTTCTTATTGTTCAATATTTGCTTTACAAAGAACACTGAGACACCATTGGTTTACACACGTAATGTAGCGATCACATAGAATCAAACACCAGCAGTATAATCAAATAGGGCTGTTGTGATACGTTTTTCTCTGTGTATATGTACAATGTGCGCTCAATGCAGGTGAACTGATACTGTCTGCTTTGCTTTCATAATCCACAGTAATCCTATATAAACTTCATCTGTGACGTATTCCAGGCTGATGTTCTTGTGAATACGACCCAGACTGACCTCATCCTGTCTATCGGGGCTGTGTCCTTCTCGCTGCTGGAGGAAGGAGGGATGGCGATACAACAGGAGTGCACCGAGAAGAAGCCTACAGGTTTGAATATTGGCGGAATGGTGGAATCCACAGGAGGAAAGCTACAGTGTAAGAAAATATTCCATGTCGTGCTGCCGGTGTGGAACAATGGGCTGAATGATTCCGAAAAAGTTAGTATTTTCAGTGTTTGATGTTCAATTTCAAAACAAATCCATTCCTTTTCTTCAAGAGTGGATGCGGGCTGCCTACTTGTGGTCTAAGGTGCCCATATCTGCTGTGAAGAGTAATGTTTTATAGGTTACACCAAAGTGATAAACATGCAACTGAAATATTGTCCAAGTCAACGTTAATTAAAGTGTCATAACCCTTTCATAAAATTATGTCCAATGCGGTGTCCATTAAACCATTCCGACCATATGACAAACATGCGTTTATTAATTAATAATGAACAGTGCTGACACCAGGTGTTCTGGAAAGTGAGCGTATCCTGCTCTCGTCACCTCACTTTACTCACTCATACACTCATCTCTTGATACAAAATCGGCCACATTTCACATGAAAGGAACGACCCATGATGAATGTTTCACAACCTTCACCCTCAGGTGTTACAGTCTGTCGTCCTCCACTGCCTTGAAGAGGCATCCAGGCAGAACTTTGTGTCAATCGGCTTCCCTGTCCTTGGCACTGGCTACGTTGAGTATCCAGCAGAGAAGTCCGCAAAGCTGATGCTGACGGCCCTGGTGAGCTTCCTGAACGCCAACCCGGACTCCACGCTCCAGACGGTCTTCATCGTTGTCCATCCCAAAGATGCCACTCTCAGAAAGGTGAGTTTAGTTTCACCGTTGTCCATCTCAAAGATGTCACAATCAGAAAGGTGGGTTCAGCTTCATCTCTGTTGGTCCTAAAGATGCCACAATCAAAAAGGTGGGTTTAGTTTCACCGTTGTCGGTTCTAAAGATGCCACTCTAAGAAAGGTGAGTTGGTCCTTCATCATTGTCCATTCCAAAGATGCCACCTTGTAACACTATCAGAAAGGTGAGATTAGCTTCATCGTTCTCGGTCCTAAAGATGTCACTATGAGGAAGGTGAATTTAGCTTCATTGTTGTCGGTCCTAAAGATGCCACGATGACAAAGGTGAGTTGGTCGTCCATTGCTGTTCATCCTAATGATACCGTTATTAATAGGTGAATATGTCCATGTGTTTGTCCATCTTAAAGATACCACTATCAAAGATTAAAACTTCTTTGCATCATCGTCCCTCCTGAATGCGACTTTGTCTTTGCCCATGTTGTATCTTGCTCAAGTATCATACTGATTTACCATTAATACCGACAAAACACTATTAGAAATGCCTCTTACGATGAGACCTTTAGACATAACAGCTAATAATGAAACATTGTTTTCAAGGTATTGGAATCACAGGTGTCACACGGGATGGAAATAATGAAAGCTGTCTCGTCTGTTGTCATAGCAGGTGAGATTTAAGAGCTGCCTACAAACACGAATGAGTGAGTGAGTGAGCATGATGTCATGCTGCTTTCAACTCACAGCAGTTATATGACGGCATGTCAGATCGATAAAGAAGGAACGCCTACGATGCAGGTCATGGATGTTTAACATTCTGGTGAAACCCACGGGTATGGATCTGCCATATGTGTAGAAACACACTCATTGGTTTCTGATATGGCGAACTGGGCCACCCCTGACCCTTCACAAGCCTGAGTCAGCACCCTACACTCAGACAGTGTTGATTGCATCTGATCCAATATAAGTTTATTAACTTTATATGTGATGAAGAATAACCTGACGAAGAAGATTATGAGATTATACATCCCTTATGTAACATGTTGTATGTGATTTAAGTCATAAAACACAATAAAAACATATGTGACTTGTGTCGAGATCAAAGTAAAGGACAAATAAATATTTTGACGGACACCATTTAGTTATCGCTGTCCAACTGTTCATTTCAGATGGCTCCCAGGTGGAGCTTGGCCCCCACACCCACGTGGTGTCAGGGCAGCTCGTGCAGGAGAAGGTGAGGGCACAGGGGCAGTTGATCACTGGGATAGAAATTCTTGATGTAAGTGAGGGAGGAAATGTAGGGTGTTTTAAGCCGCAGCCTAATTTACTACCGGTCGAGACTGGACCAGAACGACGTCGGCGGACACGAGGACAGTCAGACAGGTCACTTTGACCGAAACCCCATAGTGAGACAATCGTGGGGTGCTGGGGACCTATGCTGGCCTCGAACCCCGAGACGTAAATGAATAAACATTTTTTTATAACGATTTGTGGACTATCATTGAAACATCACTGAGTTAAAGTAACATATGATTGAAGCTTTGCCTTTGGAATGTTTACTTTAATTTCAATACAAGCCCTTGTTTTAAACGTCTTTATAGGATTTGTTCCACGAGTCGTTTCACGTCGCCGGAGAGAGGGAAGCTCTGCTGGGAACACAAGTGATGTACCGGAAGTTCACCTCCGACAATGTCAAGGCCATGACCCCTGAAGACTATCACTACAGAACGGTTGAGGCCCAGTTCTACAAGCGCATGCTGTACGACCCGGAAAACAAGTCAGTAGATGCCAGCGTAAAATTTGAAGAAAGAATGATATATCATTGTCTACGTTATCCGAATTCATACATGTTATATACATACACTAGATGTGTCATCATTGGCACAAACCTTTGGATAAATGACAGTGTATATTAGCATACGTTTTGAATGGATCTTTTTCACATTTCACAGATATGAGGTGACAGCTGTTGAATACGTGGTAAACCCGTCACTGTGTACACATTTCAGGTACATTTTTTACCATCTACAATGTCTGTCTGTCTGTCTGTCTACATTTACTCTTCATTTACTTTCTGTTTACATACTGACTATCTACAGTGAAATCTATTTGGTCCTGATCCCGCTACTACCTGTGTCATTTGGAGCTGTACGGTCCAGATCCACTGTATTAACCATTTCTGTCTCTGTCTATACTTATCTACTCCACTCACCCATCAACTCACCCGCACTCACTCATCTACTCACCCTCACTCACTCATCCACTCACCGCACTCACTCACCCACTCACCCATCTGGATCGCCATCGTGGTCTTATAATTAGAGCGTTTGTGGTTCGTTCCCCGGCCCCTTCAAACCAAAAGGAGCGCTACACATTAACGGGATAAAACACGGACTGGTCGGCTCGGAGTCAGTTTACTGTGTCTGAGAGGAGAACTCATGTTAAACTTCGGCATGTATCTCAGTTGGCTAGCATTAAAGAACCTGCATACGTCCTGACCAGTACAACCACACGTGCACATATATCGCTTAGAATAATCTTGAACGCGACGTTAAATCCAATTTCACCTCACCTCACCACCATCACGCATTTTTTAGGTTTGTCAGCACCATACCCGTGCTCGTGGGTTTCACCGAAGTGGTAAACGTCTGAGACCTGCATCACTTCGGGCTTTCCTCCCACATTAAGCTGACACGCCATGATATAACTGGAATACTGTTAAAAGCGGTGTTAAACCCAACTCACTCACTCACTCTACTCCCCTCACTCACACATCAACACCCTTGCTTCTCTTGGGGAAGCCTAGTGGTTAAAGCGTTCGCTCCTCATGCCAAAAACAAGGGTTTGATTTCCCACATGGGTACAATGTGTGAAACACATTTCTGTGTTACCCGCCGTGATATTGCTGGAATATTGCTAATGGTGGCGTAAAACATCATTCACTCACTGTATTGTATGTATGCAGGAAGGCCCAGGAGAGGATGCGAGAGACCAAGGCAGGGTACGAGGTCCCAGTGCTGGCGTTCCATGGCACGAAGGATACCAACATCAGAAGCATCTGCGAAGAGGGATTCCGCCAACCAGGTATTGACTTCGTTGGGATATTCTTTAGAAGCTCAGTAATACTATTTCTTTATAAGGACTGGCAGCAAGTGAATGGGGCTGTTATGGTATAGTTCAATGTTAATGGTAGTGATGTTCTCGACAACTGTGGCTTTTTTGCGTTGGGGAGGCCCAGTAATGAATGAACGGTCAGTTCGTGACGATCACAAACGTCTCTATTGATGTTGTTCATATTTGTGCAAAGTCCATTATATTACAGATCCCCCTGATGCTGACTGTCGGATCATTCGATTGACTGGGCTATTTTATCTCAGTAATCACCGGTTGATATCAGGTCTTATTGTGGAGGTTAGCGTCTTCTATGGATGTCAAATAAATGTTTGTCGTCCTTCTGTTTCTGGTCATAAATTGTCAAAATGCAATATATTACAGATCACCCTGAATTTGAGGAAAACACTGATGTAGGCTGGTACGGGAACGGCATCTACTTCAGCGAGTTCCCCTCCTACTCCTCCCAGTACGTGGAGGGTGAGCAGATGCTGCTGCTGTGTAAAGTCCTCCAGGGCAGGGTAGGTTCACAGAGAGTACCTTCATATTCTCAGACACAGAGTCCCCTCCTACTCCTCCAAGACACAGAGAGATTCCTTCATATTCTCAGACACAGAGTCCCCTCCTACTCCTCCAAGACACAGAGAGATTCCTTCATATTCCCAGACACAGAGTCCCCTCCTACTCCTCCAAGACACAGAGAGATTCCTTCATATTCTCAGACACAGAGTCCCCTCCTACTCCTCCAAGACACAGAGAGATTCCTTCATATTCCCAGACACAGAGTCCCCTCCTACTCCTCCAAGACACAGAGAGATTCCTTCATATTCCCAGACACAGAGTCCCCTCCTACTCCTCCAAGACACAGAGAGATTCCTTCATATTCACAGACACAGAGTCCCCTCCTACTCCTCCTACACATAGAGGACCCGTGAAGATTCCGGGGTAGAATAGGTCTTCAGCAACCCATGCTTGCCGTAAAAGGCGACTATGCTTGTCGTAAAAGGCGACTAACGGGATCGGGTGGTCAGGCTCACTGACTTGGTTGATACATGTTATCGGTCCCAATTGCGTGGATGGATGCTCATGATATTAATCACTGGATTGTCTGGTCCAGTCTCGATTATTTACAGACCGCCGTCATATAGCTGGAATATTGCTGAGTGCGGCGTTAAACAACAAACCAACCAACCAACCTAAACATAGAGAATTCACGTCAAAACCAAAGGGAGTTCCTGCATCCTCTTCCTTCCTACCCTTTTAAGACTCAGTGAAATGTCGTGAATATATACGTGGTGTCATATAGATGTCGGGTCAGTATTTGATTGTGTTGCACGTTGTGTCGATTCAGATATTCAAGTGTTCGGCTCAGAAGCTTGGAGCTGGCAAAGAACCTGGGTATGACTCCCATGTAGACCCGCATGGTCTGGAGATCGTCATCTACGACCAAGACTGCATCCTCCCCTGCTACATCGTCCACTACATTCAGATTGCCAGTAACCCTGTCGAGCTATCAGACTAGGCAACATCAGTTTCCAGGACTAGAACGGCTACTAAAGCTGACGAGGACATCAAGATGTGTCCAAGATGGTTGATACTGACCAAATATGAGACCGTATACCGTCAGTAACAGCCATCTTGGATTTTACAACACCCACCTCACATATTTCACATGGAAATTATGGTACCGAAATTCGTTATTTGACACTTTTTTGTGTATTACTATCATGAATTGTGATGTGCAAGGACAATCTGTTTTTTAGATCACGTTCGTGACTTTATTGACAAAAATTATAGTTAACAAGGTTTGGCCTCTAAGGTTTGAAGAGTGGTCTCCCTTTGACCCTTAACGGCAACGTACGGTTGTAAGTGTCAAGTTTTCATTTTGACATGACACGTGCGATATGGATACCAGAGAATGTAAACTTTTCGGCATAATAAATTCGTTATTTATAAAGTGACGCCTTGCCCCAAATTATTCTGCTAACCTTATATGACACCGTATACGGCAACTTAAGATACCATAACTAATAACCTTTTTGGGGATATAAAGCACGTATAGCAACTGTGTATATACTTTGCCATGCAACATTGATTGAATACTCTCGTCAAACTCTCGCATTCTGCGAGAATAAAGAAGTGTGAAATTCAAATAACCAGAATTCAAAATATCTAAACAACGTGACATATAATATTATGTTGAGCCCTATTACCAATTATACATAAACCAAAGTTTATCACATTAACAATAAATTGCAAGTGATTCTATGCCATTTAATTAGCAATCTAAGCATTTCTCTAGTGCTGTCTCAAGGGAGAATGTTGACGATTGACGAACAAATAGGTCATAGAAACAGATACAACAAGAACATTTAGAAAAAGAATGCACACGTTCTATGAGACGTGGTTGTATAATCACGGCTAATTTGCTGTTGACACTTGCGCAACCTTGCGCCAGTGCACTACAAGTAGAGATTGCTGCAGAGCATCAATAGCTCCCCGCGATATAATGTTATGTGCAGAGGAAGGAAGTGTAAGCTATTGGGGGAGAGAATTGGTGTTAAGTACAAATTGGTTGTTATTAATGTACTTATCTTTGGAAAGCACAATAAAAGAAACAGTGTGCCTGTTACTCTAACAATATCTTGAGAACATTTCTCATTGCTCTCTGTTATATATCTGACAAATACTTACGCTCGTACATGTGTTGCTGTCAATATTCACAACATTGAGGCTACGGGCAACGTCGCATGAGACCTTCATATTTCGCGTACCGTATCGCCTCACCGTTGTACATACTGAAATGCATGCATATGATGTAGCCTGCTCGGCGATGCTACAACATAGATATAGGAACGTATACAAAATCTACTTAATTTTCATATTCATACATCAAGGCCAACTCTTTCAGTACCGATCAACAAAGCGACATGGGATGAACAATCAGCTGATCTCACTGCATTGCTTTGAACGCCTATCTAGTGGATAACTATACAATACAATCAGTCGTGGTCATCCCTGATATATCATTAAATCATGGAAAATTTATTTCCGGACATGGCAATAGATAAATCATTGTTTAGGCGAAAAGATATGCTGCCCACACACAAGCGTGACTGTTGCCGACAGAGGTGAAGGTTATACTAGTTAACTGTCTATAGGCGTCATAGTAACATGTAGTGCTCGTTTTGCGCATACCACATGCGCCGTCAGTTTAAGGTTGGACCGTCCGGGTCAGCGCACCTAGCGGGTTAGTGAAGGGAAGATAAATTGAAAAAGATCGCCCATTGGTAAGCACAAAGGTGAGGTGAGGTGAAATTGGGTTTAACGTCGCGTCCAAGATTATTGCACTTATATAGCGACGTGCATGCACGTGTATGTGTGTGTGTGGCTGCTTGTACTAGTCCGGACTGATGCCGATTTATAGTGCTAGCTCACTGAGATACCATGCCGCAGTTTTAACATGAATACCCCACTCAGACACAGTATACTGACTCCGAGCCGACCAGTCCTTGTTTTAGCCCCTTAATGCCGAGCGCCAGACAGGGAAACAACAAGTACAATCTTTTAACGTCTTTTTGTATGACGCGGCCCGGGATCGAACCCTGGACCTTCCGCTCTCCGGGCGGACGCTCTACCACAAGACCACGGAGGCGGTCGGTAAGCACAAAGAAAACCCAGGCAAGAAAACTGGGCCTGTCAGGCAAAACTTGATATATACCCACTAAAACATCTTTGTTGTATAATAATTTCTTACAGTTGTTTACTGGGGCATGGTTGGCCCAGTCGCCGAAGGCGCTGCAATTCGCTATGCAGAGTTGTGTCCCTTGGGCACGCCAGAAACCTATGACAGTGTGTTTGAATCTCGGTTCGCCCCGATTTTGTTGTCAGCACGAAACCCTTGCTCGTTGGTTTCACCAAAGTGGTGAACGTCTAAGACCTGCATCACTTCAGACTTTCCTCCAACATCAAGCTGACACGGAATACTATTCAAGACCGCGTTAAACCCAACTACCCACTCACTCTTGTGTATGGTTCCGTTTGGTTAACTGGGTTTGTGTTGTGATTGCTTCCGGCTTAGATTTGAAATTTGTTTAGAAGAATGTTACTATGTTCAACCTTAACATCGTGAAGATATCATGCAACTGTATTATCTTTTTGGAAAATAATTGCAAACTACAGACCAACCTGTTGATTTCCTATGTATCCAGAAGCTAAGAACATATACGGGTGTATGATCTCTGCTGGAAGTTAAATTTTTTTGGGTCAAAGCAATAAACCATGCAGAAACGTAAACCGCCGCATGAAACGGTATGTACCATACATTACATACAGTGAAGTATTTAAAACAATGCTGTGCTCAACTATGCACAGCAAGCGCCATACATGTGATTATGAAGACATCTAATAAAAAATTTCTCATATCAAACCCGTTGTTTTACATGTGTTGTTTATTGAACAAAGTCATACTTTATAGAAGCCTGTTATTTAATCGTGTTGAACAATATGTTGCAATAGCAGTGTGAAAATTGAGTGCGCGTGACAGGCTTGGCCTAAATTCCTTCCTTGAACGTTTCTCGATGGCTGCCTGAATAACATACGATACATTGCTAAAGGTAGTGCGCAATTGAGCTGTTCGGGTAAGGGAGATAATCACTCACTCTTTAGTGATACAGCTTGAATAAGATACGATGTACAGCAATGCAAGGTCAGTGCGTGATTTATCACTTCTATACTACGCCTGTAGCTAAAGGAGATAATCGCTCAATGCGCAATAGTTTATTCTTACAAAATATAGACCGGTTAACTTTAGCGAAATGGGATCATTTTTAGCTCTTTCAAAAACAAAATGAACAAATTTCATGGGTTATCAGCATTACGAAAAGTGACTGAGTCTCAGAATAGCAAGACGATTTTGAAGTATCTCTTATTGCTGGAAAAGATAAACATCAACATTTCACGCACATTTCACATGATTTGTATGTTTCGTTTCGGTAACTGCGTGGCTTGAAATTTCAAAGAAACCAACATGTCGACTTACATGCCACAAAATTAACCTCTCCCGTATACTTCCCCGCCTTAAGGGCGGGGAAGAATAACAGGACGGCTCACGCATGGATTATTTGATAGAGTTACAAACAACCATGAGAACATTTTGCACCGTGCGTCATCGATTTAGTGCACAAATGCGACATGATAAAAACAAATTCGTTGGCTGTAAACAACCTGAATAAATAACTAATTAGTTCAAGTTTCTGCAGCAATTCCGCCGAAAGACGCGAAAAAGTAGTTGATCCTGTTTTTTTTATAAAATCACGTGACTATACATTGCGGCATTGGTTCTCATGTGGAATACACATGACCTGTGCTCAGCTTCAATCGATAAACAAGTCATGTTGCCCAAGCGTACGAGAGTGCACTTTTACATCATATTAAAGTCACATTTGTTTGAAATGACATTAACTTTAGACCTCTCAAACATCGCTTAACATATTTTGAGCACATCTAAACATTATGTCATTTCATAAGGCAGCTTCTTCATCTTAACGGAGCGGAGTTGCATGGGTTAAGGTACAACCGCAGATTTAAACCTGCTTTAGTGCTCGCTGGAGTAGCGTGGGTTAAGGTACAACCGCAGATTTAAACCTGCTTTAGTGCTCGCTGGAGTTGCGTGGGTTAAGGTACAACCGCAGATTTAAACCTGCTTCAGTGCTCGCTGGAGTTGCGTGGGTTAAGGTACAACCGCAGATTTAAACCTGCTTCAGTGCTCGCTGGAGTTGCGTGGGTTAAGGTGCAACCGCAGATTTAAACCTGCTTCAGTGCTCGCTGGAGTTGCGTGGGTTAAGGTGCAACCGCAGATTTAAACCTGCTTTAGTGCTCGCTGGAGTTGCATGGTGGATGGAGAACATCTAAGTCTTTCTGTATACAGGAAACCCAATCTCGGCCTCTGAGAGGGTAAATGCAAACCGAAATGTTGTTTTCGTTTGTTCCTCTGCCAAAACGTTAGATATATATCGGAAAGCCTCGCTTAAGAAAGTCATTAAGAGTCTCGGGTCAAGGTCCATTGAGGTGTTTACTTCAAGTAAGCTCGTGTGTTATGTTCTCTGTGAATGGCGTTTATCTTCTCTGAACCTGCAAGGCACATGAAGCTGAAACTTTTCAAAATGCTCCCAGCCATGGTTCTAAATGCTTTCTCACAGAAATCCGAAGTTTAAAATGCCATTTGTGCCCGTTGCAGTAACATTTCTACATGTATCAGTAAGTCACACGACGCTTGGGTGTTTATCAATTTATTCAGGTTCATGGTCCAATTGTTCCAGAGGGGAAGATGTTTACATACGACCTTGTGGTGCTTGGCTATCTCGGGCATATACATCTCCTTTAAAACCCACAAACATAAATGTGATATATCATGTCAAGAGTCAAGGTCATTCGCCGGTCTTAGCCGAAAACCCTCATGAGTTTACTTAAGAAGGCTTCACTGTGTGTCAAAGAAACTTGGTACGTGCCATCCTTTGTGCGGGGCACAGGTCGAGAGTGACCAATGTTCATAGTCAACGTCACAATGAAGGTGATTCGTAAAGTATATTTGCCAGTAAATGCCTTTCTGGAATGGTATTTCGTTGGGTAGTTTTGCTTCCTTGTTCACTGAACCCTCTCTGTTAGTATCAGGTGTTTGTAAGAGCTGGTGTTGAGGTTTTCACCCTGAAATTATCAAATAGGTGATTAGTTGAAATTGATAGCCAACGTGTTTCCGATAGCCCTCCGACCCATCATTTCACGAGTTTTTATTACATGTGTAACCTATCGTGTGGGAATTCGTTTTTGAGCTTCGGAATGAAACCGGAAATTTCCGTCGGTGTCACTACCGAAATCAAGGTCTGAGGTGATTAAAATTCCTCGCAGGGTCCCCGATATGTTTTCCATTAAAAATGGTGTACCCCATAGCACAGGCTTGTTCGTGACTTTTTATCGTTTCTCTTCAGTCTGACAGCTGCATAATCTGATATATTATGGAGACTCTTGGCAAGATGTTCTCAAATGTCATCTTAAACTATTTGGTCATTTCATATTCGATTGCATTTATTTGAGTGTAAAATGTATGTCATTTGATGGAGTCAAACTCATTTTTCGTTCATCCAGTGTGTTGACATTGTTTTTATTGGTATTAAATGGTGTTAACTTTGACATAACATTGGTTGAAACAGATTGTTCTTTAATTCAGTTGCTCTTAGCATTTAATTCTTCAGTTATATCATACCATTAAGCTTCATTTGGGACGACTGCTAAAATGATCATACAACTGTAAAAAACACTCGCTGATAACATGGAAGCATATAATTCATTGTGAGTGACAGGCAAAATAGCCAAATTATGTGAAATGATCATTGAAAATCAGTGATGACACCAGGTGTACGCGACAATGGTAACTTATTAGGTTGGATCCCTGAAGATCGGTTATGACACAGACGTTCGTGAACAAACAAGGATAACAAATTCCGATGTCACTATTGGTTCGAACAAACGTGCCGAGTTTCAGCTTCATTGGTACGACGCTTGACAAGGTCAGGGAGTGAGTCCACTTCATTTTCAGTCAGGACAGCTCAGTCAGGACAGCTCAGACAGGTGTAATTATGTACGAC